GGTGAGAATTTAAAGAAAGAGGGGTGGGGGGGGGTGAGGAGGAGGTAGAATTAAGGCTGAGTGAGCCGACTGTGGTGCAGTCAAGCAGAAAAATCTCAACAAGCCAAAGGTCAGCAACACAAAACAAGCTTCAAAACAACGATAAACTTGTTTGTCATAACGCCTCTGAATTTGAAAAGTAAATAAATAAATAGCATAAAATATCAGGGGTTTTGGGGCATCACTCTTTAAAAATTATTTAACTAAATTCTGGAAACAACTGGCACTATTAAGTGACGCTGGAGCTACTTTACTTTTTTTTTTTATTAGTACAATATTCCTGAAGTTTATGCCTTTCATTTTATGTATTTCATTTTTAAAAATAAATTAATCATCATGATAATGTTAAATGTTTTTAATGAATAAAAGTGGATTATGCAATTTCTATTTTTGTCCAAAAGAAATCAAAGCATCCTGGATTTTGAGATAAATTTGTATTTTTTGGTGGGGGTGGGGCGACCAAGAAAAAAAAAAAGCAGATAACCAAATATTTCACCTGCTTTTGAATTACTTTTTTTACACAATGCTCCTAAATTCTGTTCAGGAAATGCGAGGAAGTCTAACTTTGGACACCGAGGCTAACTTGAACTTAAATAATTAAAAGTACATTACTTTTTGGACTCCGCTCAACTAACTTCTGTTGAGAACAAGCAATGCAAAACGATTAGGACCAAAAAAAAAAAAATTTTCAGGAATTGAAGCAAATAACACAAATACAGTACGTCTAGCAGAGCTAGCTAGTTATCTCTCTCTCTCTCGATTGCGAGCTCGCAAACTAGCTCGCTAGCGAGCGAACTAGCAAACTAGCTCGGTACCTAGACAGATAGATTTGTGCTATGTTTTCCTGACTGTGGTAAGAAGACAAGCATTCCAAAAAGACGACGTTTTTTTCTCACTCAGGTTCTGTCAGAGGCGTGGTCTCATTGGGCTCCGCGGGTCCCACTCCTTCCTGGTTCTGCGTTGGCTCCTCCTCCGTTCTCACCTCAACAATGGGCTCCTTGGACTCATCCTTCCTGTTAATACAAGACACCAGAGCAGGTGAGGCTATTCCTATTTCACATCTATCGTGTCTTAAACAGGTGCTTATTTTTGTTTTTTTGCGCAGGGAGAATTTTCAGGACTCACGTGAAGTTGGCCTTGCCCTCCTCCATGTCCTTGCTCTTGGCTCCCGGACCGGCTTTCCCGCAGAAATTGACGGCAATGCACATGAGAAGGCCGCACTTGTTGAGGAAGTAGCAAGTGACGTCCACGGCCACCAGCAGCGCGAAAAAGACCACGATGAGGATGCCCACGATGGCGCCCGTGCTCAGGCCAGAGCCTGAGGCGCCTGGAAGTGTGACAACCATAGGAAGGTAGGAAAGGGGTAGAAGGAGTGGTTAGAAATGCTGCCGAGTATTGAGCATGCTATGATGCCAACTGAAAAAAACAAAACAACCCCCCCCCCCCACACACACACACATACACACTTGCTGTCGACTGATAATGACATCACAGTTACTCAGGTGAGCCGTGATTGGTCGTTCCCGGGTCCTCAGCAAATGTGATTTTCTTTTTCAGTCAACAGAAAATGGCAAAATGGCCGCCCCCTGAGATGATGGATTTTGTTGCTTAACTCATGTTTCACAAACACAGTATTAAACAGAATGCCGTGTTTAGACTACTGGAGGCGTACGGAACACATTTCGGAAAAGAATAGTTTGGGGTTGAATTCCCGTTTAACGTTTGAGTAAAGAACACAGTCGTTCATGTAACATGGGTTCATCAGTACGTGCATGCTAGATGAATTAGATGCTTTATGATCCTCTTTGAAGTGCCTTGCTGCCATCATGTGGCATGTATACGCAATTACAAAACCTTTTTAGAAGAGGTTGGTGTCGATTATTCACCAAATTTTGCGATTAGCGCGGGTTCATCCTGTTTCCAATGTGCCTTGAAGATCACTGGCGTTGTGGTGTCCACTGGTTTACATGGCCGTAGGAACCCCACCAACGGTGGTGTCACGATGAGTGATAACCCCTCTTTTCCATTTTTTGCCACAAATACATTTTCCGGCAACACACGCTCAATTGATTTCTAATTGGACGTCTTCCTCTCCTCGGCGAGCACGCCGGGGCCTCGGTTTCCACCGACTGGTAAACACACGTTTGCCTCCCCACCCAGCTCGCCGCTTCATTTACATTTTAAAAGGGGCAATAAATCACGCGCCGTGCGTTCAGAAAAGGGGTGGCGGTGTAACACTCGGGTGTTGTCACGAAACAACAGGAGCATAAATCAGGTAGTGTCACGACGGACGGTGCAGTCATTTCTACTCATGGGTTTTGACAGCCAGCAGCGCTGTGAGCGGCGCGTGATAAGCCTCCGCTGCACTGACAACCTTTATGGAAAAAAAAAAGTAATCAATAAAGCACTAAGATGACGGTGTTACATGACTAGACGACGTCTTCGAGTGACAGCTAATGATTTTGCCTTCACTGCTTATCCAGGTAGCCTGGCAAACTGCTTTGACATCCCTTTGGACATTAATGAGCCCCCCCAGCCAGCACCTTCTCCAATATTAAAACCTTCATTTAACAACTGCAGAAAATTGATTTAATAAACTGTACAAGTTGAGTCAGGAGCATGGTCACGCAATTAATTAAATCGGTACCACTAGCTAGGATGAGGCTAGTAGCAATGTCGATGGATTCAAAATGAGACCAAAGAGAAAAAAATAAAATAAAATAATCGGCCGATCCTGGAGGTTTAAGTAAGTCATTTTAAACCAAAAAGTTTAACCTTTCCGTGTGCTGACGCGCCAGTGTAGGCTACACTCCGATACGTTTGAATGAGATCAGTGAATATGGCTCTGTAAAAAAGATAAAGTGCTACATAAGAACACGCCGTTTAGCATTGAGATCAAATTGGATTTTTCATTTCATGGACTATGACGTGTTTTTCGGCAAAGGTATATTGAGTAACACATTCGAGTTGATTCATCCGTATATGAAGAGCGAATGTAGATTTTTGGTGAGAGTTCCGGTGCGGTTTAAAACCCATCATAAAAAATCAAAAAACAATTTCCTGACTTATAGCACCCTGTTTACGAATATGACACATCCCTCAGGAATCTGATAGGCTACTCGCTATCGCGTCGCCACCGAGTGAGCGCTTTATCCGGGAATGAATAGAAGCGAGGTTTCCAATTTGGACAAAAGAAAAGTAGAAGTTCGGTGTATGGAAAGACAGCATGACGGAATGATAAATGAGTGACTGCGGATAGAGGCGGCGGCGGCGGCGGCGGCTGGGAGGACGTCAGGCGACTTTCCAGGAGGACCTGAGCCACGCGACGTCCTCTCACCGAGGAAGGAGACCTGGAGAGAGGACAGACAGGTTTGGACACGGAGAGGGAAAACAACTCACATGTAGAAAGACGGAAGGACAAGGACAGAAGACAAAAGACCCAAACGCTGACGCCGAGCTAAGTTTGTCTTCCCGGATGGCTCGAGACGATGCCGCGTTGGGATCGTTTGGGTGAGAGAATAAGGATGAGTGTGTTCTTATTATCTTGTGTTACCTGAAAGAACCACTGAATTAAATGTTGGAACTGCAAAAGCTTCAAGCATTTTACTTTTATTTCTTCACCCAGTACACCACATCTGTCGAGCACAATTCAGTTGTATTTAACTTCAGTACAATTGCATTTTATCTTGCAAAATGGATTGTTTTACATACAGCATATGTTGAGGTGATCCATATTTGGCTTTTTTTTCATTTTTTTTTTAATTACTTGTCATACCACTTTTTATCCAAAATGTTAAATTGTCTTTGGAAAAACGAGTTGGCACGGACTTGCGTAACTACAAGTGAAAACAGACTTTCATTGTGTGATTTGACTCGACTTAACATATTCCAGTAGAGACATTACGAACAAAAATTTTGCGGGAGAGTTAACAGCCCGTTTTCCTTTGGAGGCTCGAGTCACCTTGCCCACATGGCGTGACAACCGGATAATTGTTCTTTTACACCGATCTTGATTTCCCGCATCAAACCGTTGTCAGTTTTGGGCAACGGCGGGCATCTGAGAACCCGGGCTCTAAATGATTGATGAGCATCCAGAGGGAAGCAGATGCCCGAGTCCCTCCGTTCATTAGCGGGTGCCATGTTTTAATTAGCGAGGCTGAGGAAACAATCACCGGGCGCATCTGTTTGATTAAAGGAAAATGTACACGGGCTTCGCCAGCGCTCAATTGTCACACTCAGTTTTGTATGGCGTGCCCTCATGCAGCTAATTGCTTGTCGGCGTAACCCCTGGGGGGGGGGGAATAATAAAATAAATACATGAAAATAATGCTTTTCTCCATGGCCTAGCCTCCAAATGTTAATTAAACTTTGAGGCCAAGTTTCGCCCACATCAGGTGGCATAGACAAAAAAATATATATATCGGGCATGGGTCCTGGAGACTTTCCCATGCAATGTGTAATGATGGACCACCCGATTGGGTGTCGATCAATAATATTGGAGCTGGGGCAGTTTTTTTTTTTTTTTTAACTTTACAGAGGGCACGACTAGTTTACATTAAAATTTGGTTCATAGTGTTCATAATACATCCAGACTCCCCGAGACCTGTGCTTTTGTTTACCAACATATTGCTAGCCTCATTGCATAATTGCCAAGGTCATTTTTAACCTATTGTAACTTAAAGCTGGACGGTGTATGTTTATCGCCCCCCAATGGTGGAATACTGCATTACAACAAGAGAACTATCGCTTTGAAATAGACGAACGAACCTTTACTTTCGATTTGGATTCTCAGTAATTCACAAAAATTGAATCAAGGCAACTGGACTCTTGTCTGTTGAATTTGTTGTTTTCTGAAAACTTTTAAATACAACTTAGGCAGCTATGCACTGAGCCTAACGGTATGCTAGGTTTTAGCCATTTGTCGAGGGCCGGTTTAAAAAGCAAACAAACAAAAAAACTTGACTTTGACGGACAGGTTCTGCACTCCAGCTAACAAAATCACTTCGGTGAAAGAAAAACAGACACACTTTATTTCCACCCCAACGACGGTTACATTGAAACACACACAGATATGTAATTACAAAAATGTCTTCAAACCAAAATGATGCTCTTTTTGATAGTGACGCACGTAATTTTCCTCCCCGCCTTTCAGGACATTTCTCCTGCTTTCTGGTATTAAGACGAGTGAAAATAACAGCCGATTTCAGTCCGAAAAGATTATGTCCAGTACACACAAAACATGATAATTTCACTCTTTTTTTTTTCCTCCCCCCGTCTCTTCTATCCTTTCAAGGCATTTACTTGAAAATGTTTCTGATGCCAAGTGGCGAGGAAAGTGCATTTTGAATTTATTTAATGTTCCAATTTGGAAGTGGAGTGCCTCGCCTGCTTTTAACACATTCATAATGCTCGGCCGGCGGGCCAGGGAGGCGGAGCATATTTGTGAATAACCAGATTGGGGGAGGGGGGGGCACTTCATGCTCTCTTCATGCGCTTAGGCCAAGAGCAGAAGAAGAAATAAAAGCCTTTTTTTTTTTTTTAAACCTAGGTCGAGCTATTGCAGACACACAATCACACGATTCTCAAGTTCACACTAAGGCATTATGAATGTGTTACTCCGAACAAAACGCCACCCGAGATCCGACTTGTGACATAAATGCATCTAGGGATGGGCATGACGGTACAAAGGGGGAAATGATCCACCAATTCATGGACGAATAGCTTCAAAACAAACATTTCGGAAAGGAGGTTCTCTTCCGACACGAGCAGCCATTTTGTGGATGCAGATCAACTTCTCATTAACAATCGACGGGATTCCTCACGATCAAGAAATTGATGATGCGCATCCCTAACTTTTATCCCTCCTTTAGACCAGGGGTGTCCAAAATGTTTTCCACCGAGGTTAGTGGACAGAAAAAAAATCTCAAGATGCCACTTTAATATCCTTGAGCAATTTAACATCTTATCCACGTAAATGATTGTGATCTGAACTGCTGATCTTTTTGTCTCATATTCATCTTTTTATGTCAAATCAAAATGTTTTCATTCTATCCAGAAAAAAAAATTAAGGAATTGGCCTCACAGTTCCAACGCTGGTCAACAGAAAATATTAATCAGAGATCCTTAAATGTATTTTTGATGCGGATTTGAATTTTTTATTTTTTTAAAAGCCTTTTGGGGTCTTTTTCCCCAGCACGTTTTTATGTTTAACCTACAAAAGCTTGCGCAACACGGATTTTACCATGTGTATATTGTAGCTAATTCCACATATTTTTAAATCAACCCTTTAATTCATAAATATATTACATATTCTATTTTTGATATGATAGTGCTATTATTATTATAGAGAGAAATATTAAGGCCAGATTTAGAATCAGCGTTAAAAAACAAAAACAACCCAAAAAACAAAACAAAACAACCCTGTAGAAAAGTTTATTTGCTTCTCTGATTTCAAAAAAAATAGTACAAATGTTGACCAGTGGAATTGGATCTAAAAAATTGCATCAACATTTTTTTTTTAAAGACAAAAATGAAATCATTAAAATTGCCCTCAAGAAGCACTTTGGACACCACTGATATAAATAGTCATTCTGTATATTATATCAGATACAAAAAAAAACAAAAATAAATAATAATAACAATAATCAGACGACACAAAATTCCGCCAAAGAAATCTGATGCACATACAGAGCACCCTGTGATAACAATCATAAAAGCAAACATCTTAGACTTGTCATCTTGTTTGTGGCTGCACAAGGCTCAAAAAGGCATAGAAAGCGAAAGTGGGGGGAGGGAGGGGTTGGGTGGATATCAGAGCCAAAAAACGAGTTTCCGTTTCCTCTCGACTATCCCTTCTCCTCGGATGAGATCAGTTTGACTAGAACAAGAGCGCGGTCAGCGAGGTGGAGAGCAGAAGAGCTGCCAAACTGTACGTCACGCACTGGCAACCCAGCGTGGCTGCGAGTGGCCACCAAAACATCCAAAAACGGCACAATTGGAGCGCGACGCAAAAAAACAGAAAACCAAGAGATTGGCGCGTATGACAATGTCACCGTCCGCAGTTGCCCCCACCCCGACAAGACGTGGACAAGACAAGAGAGACAACGAGAAGAGGGTGGAAACAACAAGGGAGGAAAGAAGGAGAGAGAAAGGGGGGTCGGGGAGGGGACAGGGAGAGATTGGAAAAAAAAAACAAAAAAACAAAAAAACCAAAGTCAGAAATACAGAAATACAAGCCCCGAAAGGTTATAAGAGATTGCAGTGAGTGAGTAAGAAATTAAAAACATGAAATAAAATCAAAAAAGGAAGACAGTTAGTTCGCAAGGCAGATGGTTTATGGCAGGCATGGGTGCAAAGGTGGAAGGCAAAGGGGAAAATGGACTTGCAAGAACTGTTCGGCCTGAACGCTTTTGAAATATCAACTACCGCAACCTTCAGACGCTAATAATGCTTGAAAATGAGTACCGTATTGGCCCGAATATAAGACGGTGTTTTTTGCATTGGAATAAGACTGAAAAAGTGGGGGTCGTCTTATATTCGGGGTCTAGACATTATACCCATTCACGACGCTAGATGGCGCCAGATATCAATGAAGCAAATGCGGCACTTGACTCCCCAGGCCAAAGTGAACCTCTGCCACAAAGAATAAAAATAAAAAAAGTGGTAGCACGAAGAAGAAAAATAAAAAATAGCGGTAAGAAGGAAAAGAGAAGAAAATAATAGAAGAGATAACAGAAAATGGAGGAACGTAGCGACAATCTGGAGAAAAGTGGGTCGAAGATCGGCCAGGTTAACCGGCAGCTGAGGAGAAGTTATGATGTAATTTACATTTCAAAAACCAGAAGCCATTCATTTACGAATGTGATTGCACTACAGATTTGAATGAGGCAAAATAACATGCGTTTTCTCTCAAATATATTGTTATAATCATTTGTTTCAGATGTACTGTAATTATTTTCTGTACAAAAATGAATTCGGTGTTCAAAAAGTCTTTTTTTAACTTGAGTCTTGAAAAAGAGGGGTTCGTCTTATAATCAGGGCCGTCTTATATTCGGGCCAATACGGTATTTAAAATCGATAAAGAATGTTCATCTCCGACGCGAGTGAGCAACAGCAAAATGGCTGGCAGAAAAGTAAATGCTAATCCAGTAGATGGCAGCAGCAGTCTCATCGCTCGGTGCTTCATGAAGAGGAAGGGAGCAAACTGAGACGAGACCAGCCAGTATTTTTGTGACATTTTTGTCTTTTTTTTTAGCCCCATACACCACATGCTCATCGTGAAAGGAGGGAAGAGCCGATGCGTTGCGCTGATGAGATGAATGGTTTGGATACCCCCCGCCCCACACAATTATCAGCGCTGTGATAGCTTGAAGCGAGCGCACGCGCCGCCTGGGGAGATTTGGATCCATCGACGTCCGACCGACACGTTTTGAACTTCGTGACGTCGTGGCACTTGCTTGGGAGAAAGAAAAAGATCCAAATAAAAGCGCTTGCAGGAATTTTATGGAGGACTGACGTGGAAGCACGGGAACTGGCTCAATTTTATTTGATTTTGGTGTTTCTGTTTTTGAAGTGATCCAAACCTCCCCCGAGCTGTTTTGGTCTTTTCTTTGCATGCCATGCACTGGCAGCCTTGCTGATACATGCTTTTCATTTGACACCGCAAGCAATCGTCTGAAGTAGATGGTTCTTTGTGTGCGTGTTTTTTTTTTCTTTTCTTTTTCCGATTCAAAGAAAATATAAGCAGCTCAGAAAAAGAGAAAAACATACATTCAAAAAAGCGGTGAAGACTTTGGGGTCAGAACGTTTTTTTTTTTTAAAAGTTGTTTTTCTCAAGACTTGCGCGGTTTATTGTGGCGGGGAAGCGGCCCAACTTCAACATGATTGCACACAGCACAACAAGCAGCAGCAACAACAACAGAGCGAAGGAAGGCCGACCGTGACCGCTGGAGGAGAGCGTTAAAGGATTAACTGCACCAAAAGAATGACGAAAAAAAAAATAATAGTAATAAAATCGCTCCGGGCCTGACGGATATCTGCCGCCGCTTTCTTGCTCGCTGAGCAGCGGCTGCCTTAACGATGCAAGCGTAGATTAGGAGCGTGGCGTAGCGTGATGCCGAGCCTCACGCCCTTTCTGCTGCCGCGAAAAGGTTCTCGCGCTATCCCCCC